TTTCTTTCTGCTCTGCTTACTCTGACAGATAATAGTGCAATACTGTTATGGCATCATGGTCCAAAAATCTGCTAATTGCCCTTATTTAAAATATATTCTAGGGATGTTACCCTTTCTGTTCCACAGCAACACTGAAGCAGTAAATTGAGGCAAAGAAAAGAAGTGTTCTAGAAGATCAAGGGCTCAGTGGAGAAAATGTTGCTGAGCTTGTCAGACAGCTTTGGAGCAGGATGGGTTTATTTTTGTTTGGTTTGGATTTTTTCGTTATAACAAAGTTATAACGAAACCAAGACTGATGATGATCCTGGCTACAGAATTCCCATTCTAGCACTGTGTGGCTGACCTTGGGATATTTTAACTTCTGGCTAAGTAGATTTGGGCTGTGGCTCTTAAGCCAGCTGCTTCTGGGACCTGCCCAGTGCTGATTCAGCCCCAGTGAGCACTGGAAGGCAGAGTTATTAAAGGTGTGCAGGGCGTTCTGTGGGGCTGGAAGACATTTTGCCAAGGAAACTGTGGTGCTTTTATTATATGAATTAATAACTAGCTCTGGGTGTGCTTCCAGAGGCAGAGCATATTAGAATATTAACAAGGAGGTGAAATTCTTTAAACCAGGCAAAGGAGTTAAGCAGGGTGCTGGTGGTTGCTGAACTTGGCTGTGGATACCCATAAAATAAGTAAGTAAAGAGGATTCCTCTGGCTGAAATGGAAATTCAGGAGATTTCTTGTTCAGCTGGTAAGGGCAAAATCTATCAGCATTATTTAGGGCTTGCCACAAAAGGGTGTTTTTGAGTGGACATATGCAGAATGATTACTTTGATTTCCTGTGGATTCATATTCTCAAGAAGAATGATATCCCTGGCATTATTCTGGAATAGCTATCCCACTTTATGTTCATGTTGCAGTTTATTCTGAGATAATTTCTACAGGGATTCAGGAATCCCACAGATTCTTGTTGCTGGGATCACACTGGAAACATCCCCACTCCTTCCTTTTGCTCTCTTAGAAACATTTTGCAGGAAACTAGAAACAGAAGAGACTTCATTTAGATTTTGTACAAGACTTCCTTTATTATAAATAAAGCTGCATGAGAAGATCTATACAAATTCAACAGTGTCCAGCTATGGAAGCAGCAGTTTAAGTACAGCATTGTCAATCAAGGAAGACCTTAGTCCAGAGAGTTCTGGTGTCACTGCCCATCTTGGCTGCATTGCCAAGATTCATCTCTGTACTACAGTTTTGCTTCTGAGCTAACATGTTACACACAGAACCCCAATTCTAAAAAAAAAAAGGTAGTAAATAAAGCTGTTTACCAGGTAGGGTCCTATGAGAGCCAGCCCCTGAGCAGCAGCAAAGCTGTTACAGGCACCTAAAGTCTCATTTCTTCACCACAGAGAAAACATTGCAAAGACTTTGCATGAAAAATGGCTGGTGAACAAACACCAAACCCTGCTCTTTGAATACTGGATAAATTTTTGGATCATTTTGCTAAACTACATCTTTATACCCCTGTATATACCTGTATATAGAGCAGCTTGGAGAGAAACTCTTTTCTGTGGCTGCTTAACAGTGAACACCCAACACCTCCCCTTAGAAGACATTCAGCTCCTGTACAACAATAATAACCTTAGACCAAGACATTTTCTAAAGGTAAATGGCTCCTGAGGCTATGCTGTAGATCAGTGGTTGCTATCAACCCACCACTAATTCCACTGCTTTGACAGAGCCTGTAATAAAATATTTAAACCACAAGTTGAGAGCACAGGGAGTGGTTGGAAACCAGTGGAAGGCACTTGGAGTTCATCTGTTGAATTCACCTGGTTAGCAAATGGCAAGAACAATATTCAGGGTCCAGGACAGGCTGTCTACCTTTCCTTAGGACATCTCACAGAGATACAGGCACTGCCAAAGAGACATTTGTTGTTACTCAGGTGCCCTGTGCAGTTTGGTTTTACAAGAACATTTTTCACTTTAAACCACCAAATCTCACTTTTACTCCCATCCTCTAAAGCTGCTTCCTATGATTACCCACACAGATTTCAATCAAGGCAGAACTTCCCAGGGGCAACACTAAAATGTCTTAGGACATTTTTACTGTCTGGCAGCTGATGGAACTGAATTGTCTTATAAACCTTATTTTGTGAAATGTGAGCATGGGCTTTTACTAGTAGGCTAGTATTTGGTGGGCAAAGATTTGATCCAGGAGAGACAAGGAAATCCAAGGAATGATGTGCTTCACATCATGACCTCCTTGTACCATAGCAGACGTGTGGTCCAAAGAAACACTGTGTACCTACCTCTCCTCTGATGGGACATGTCTGTACCTTTGGTTTGTAAGGAAGATCTGCACTCTGAGGCTGACTGGAGCACAGTTTATAATCACAGATAAAATTTCCCCCCAACAGGTATGAGTGGGTCCCCTCACAGCCTAAATGCACAGACCAGATCACTTTAAAGGTGCTCAGGGCAAAACGAGCATATTGCATGTAGGAAAACTAAGCCAAGCAATTTGCTTTCAGTGGAATCAAATCCATAAATTACTTGATTCAGCTCCAGCTTCTGTTCAGCTAAACCCCATGGGAATACTTAGGGTCAGTTTGGGTGTAAGAGAGAACAGGCATACAAGTACAGAAAACAAAGAACAAAAGATTCAATCCATTTATCAGTTCAGGTTCCCTTTGAGTCTGAGCAGCAGTGCTTGGGGCTGTGTCAAGACCAGTTTGGGCACGTTTACAAGCCCGTTGCAACTGGTGTTGCAAAGCTTTGTTCTGACATTTTAATAGGGGAGTTACCTTTTTCTGTTCAATAGCCTTTTCTTCTCCCTGTTCAACCTTATATAAAAGTTATTTTTCAACTCTGAATGTCATTTCCTGAGAGACCTGGGTCACAAATTTGTTTCTGTTCTTTGGACAGTCTAAATTTAGACTCCTGACAGGAAATGGCAGAGAAATTCTAATTTCTCTCTGGCTGGGCTGGGATGGGAGCACTTTTAGAAGTAAGTTCAACCACAACTGCTCCATCTGACCTGCCTGCCAGCAGTCCATGTAAAGCTGGATCTTCTGCAGGCACTTTGCAGTAAACCTGGGATGTTAAAAATGACAAATCACCTGCGTTTGCAAACACAGCCTCCCATGTAGCCTCCAGGCTCCAGTACTGACCCACCCTTCCTGTCCTTCTCCTTGTCACTACCTGCTTGCCATGGCCCCTGAGATTGCTCCTGCTCTCATTCCTTCTGGGGAAAGTCTTCTTGGCTGTACTAAGGCAAGCCAGGGATTTACAGCACTCGTTAGCGTCAGCAATTAGTGCTGCCCTGCTGCTCTCCTGGCAATCTCCCAGGCACTCATCACCAAGGATGCTGAAGCAAGCACTGATGATCCAAGACTTTTTCCTACAGCATTACCCACCAGCCTCTTCTCCCCCATTCCTACCTACCCCTTACTTTCTGTTCAGACATCCTACTTAACTACCTGTGGTAAATAAAAGCCAAGGGAGGCAGCATTTTGAGCATAGCTCTGTCACCATCTGTGCTTTCTTATAAACCAGGTGTGGAGACAGGAGTTACAGCTTTCTCTGCCTTTGTGTGTGAAATGTCCCACACTCGTGGTGGGACAGAGAAGAGCAGACACCAGTGAGGTGGTGAAACAGTTTTTACCAGGAAAAAGGAAGAGAGGATATGTCTATGGAGAGTTTGCTCATCAACTAGATAAGGCTGGATAACAAGCTTCATGCTGTATGTTGTCCCCAGCAGTGATACAGGATTGAATCTTCTCTCTGATGTAACAGAGAGGATTGATAAAAAGGAGTGAAGGTAAAAGCATCCCTGATGGGTCTTACCTCACAGAATAACCACTCTCTTGTAAACAGGACTAAGGGAAGCCCTAGTGTAAAACTTTGCAGGAAATCCTAGTGTGAGAAAATGGTAGGAAAGGCCCTTTTAGCACTGGAGGCCAGGCTTCTGGGACCAGCATAAAGCCATTATGCACTGGGGCCCTGGCCTGGACCCCACATTCAGGAGGGTGAGGATCTCCTGAGTCTTCTCCTTCAGCAAAGCCACCTTGCTGGGGCTGGGCAGCCCACTGGCACAACGCTAACATGCTTCCTGTGGAATTTCAGGCGTTTCCATTCCTGAAATGAATGGTTTGGGTTTTTTAGCACATGCCTCATGATTCTCCCCTGGCCTGAAAGCCTGCAGCAGCTCTCCTCCTTTGCACTCCCAGCTGAGCAAATTACAGTCTATTGGTGCAGCTCCTCAGAGCAGCAGTCTTTAAGAAGACTGAGAATGTATAAAGTACCTTTTGCCTGCATATATGGAGCAGAAGGAATGCAACACGGATCATAAGGCAGCTGCAAGCAGCACTGCCCAGTTCTATCACATGTGCATCTTTTTCATCCCTTCCTTCTCCTCCCTGCAGGCCTTGGCCTAATTAAAACAATGTGCAGAGAGTCACACTCATTTGGAGGGTGATTGTTCGCTCCTGCTACCAGACTTCTGAGATTGGCTTCATTACAGGATAAATTTGGAGAACTGCTTCTTTTATGAAAGCAAAACTTAGAGCAGTCACAGAATCAGAATAGTTTGGGCTGGAAGGGATGTCCAAAGATCATATAGTTCAAGCCCTGCTTTTCCTTTCTCTCTAGGCTGTTCTCATGCCTTAGTGCCCCAAGGTAAGGAAAACAAACAAACAACCCAAAATGTCAGAACCCAATAGTGGTGTTTCTTTTATCTAAGGTAGAAAACGTTCCTGCTCATTGATCCATACAAAATGGGCAGGAATATAAACCACTAGCCATGTTACCATGGAAGACTCAAATGAAATGGTCTGAAGACACAGACCCTGCTCTGCTATATCCGTGCAGAGGTGTTTTGGAAGTACAGGACAAGCCATTAGAGTTTCTGCTGCAAGACTAATCAAGAAAGCCTTTTCTTCTTTTCTTTTTTTTTTTGTTTTTTTGTTTTTTTGTTTGTTTGTTTGTTTGTGTTTTGTTGGTTTTTTTTGTTGTTGTTGTTTTTAAACTACAGTTCCCTTTTGAAGCTGTGCTTTATTTAAGGATCTCCATCCAGTCCAGATCTTGTGCATGACCGTCCTCCTCTCCAGACCAGCATGTAGACTTATGCTGCACTTCCCATTAGTGAAAGAGCTCCTGCTGTCTGTAAGCAGATGGGCTCCTTTGATCCCCAGATGCTGTCTCTGATTCCCCCACCCTGTTCTTATCTCCCCCTTCTGAAGGAAATGAAGTATTGGCCACCATCACACCCCCAACCCCATTTGCATTGCAGGCATCTGAATAAACTACTTACATTTGTTGCTCACCACTGCTGTAACATGACTGAGGCACAATAGAAAAAATATATTCTTAGCTGCATAAAACCAAGCACAGCAGTGGAACAGAAACCTACTTCAACACTACATCTTCCAGTTTCTCCCTATTCTCCTCCCATAGCCTCGTCCTTTCAGCAGGAACCATGGCCCAGGACTGATTCAGCTCCAAACAAGAAGCTCTATTGGCAAAGTCAGTTGTCTCCAGGAGGCTTCAGGAAGTTGCCCTCTGGACTTGTGCTTAGAGTTTGGCTTTGGTTAAAGGGGTTCCTTACGGATCCCATTGGTGTGTGCAAGGGGAGTGTGCACTGTGTACTCATTTATCAGTGCAGACATGTTCCTGAGCATCTCGTGGAACGTGTCCACCATCTTCCTGTAAATGTCCCTGCGTAGCACAAAGGGACGGAAAAGGTTGAGAGGCTCAGCCCTCTGAAATATGATGGGGAAACTCAGCTCTGCTGGTACATTCCCATTGCCAATAAAGAAGTGATAAAGCTTCTTTTCATGCAAACATTTCTCTAGGAATTTCAGCATGTCCTGTAGGCGGGCCTCCAGCTTTTCTGGGGCCCAGTCCTGACTGGGACGTGCCTGCAGGAGATGCAGCAGCACTGTCTTCAGGTGGTAGTTGGTGAGCCCGCTGGGACCTGTGAGGCTGCATTGCTTCCCATGGAGGAAGGAGAGGATCTGAAGGCAGCTGACGTGGCAGGCATTGGCAGGCAGTGTTTTGGAGACCAGCTGGATGAACCTCCTCTCATACACTGCGAAGGTGAGGAACCAGTGGGTGCTGGAGGGGATGTCTGCTGCCAGGCTGCTCCGAGGGAAGTGGGAGATGAAGTAAACGTCAGAGTTCTCATACTGCACCACAGGGGTGAGGTTGAAGGCAATCGATTTCCCTGATTTAAATTTTATCTTCAGTGCTCCTGGTGAGTCCAGGAGGCTGAAGGAAAGGTCAAATTCATATTTGTGGGAGATTCTGTTCCAGGCTTTGGTGACAGCAATCTGGAACCACTTCATGACTTGGTCAGCATCCAGATATTGGGTATTTTTGAAGCATAGGAGGTCTTCCATCTCACTGCTGGGCCTGGTACTACTGACCTGGCTATGGAGGAGGCACAGCATATCTTCCCCTAGTTTAGTCTTGTCACAGATGCAACCCGTCACATCCTCATCTGCCCTGCACACCTTGATAGTGCCATAACCTTGTTCATCTGGGGGAAAAGAGTCACCAGAGCACCAGGTCTGGCAGCGAAAGCAGTAAGGCTCTGGGGGGGCAAAAGGCACTATCAGGTCACAGACAAAGGGCTTACGCACTCTCCAATTCTCATACATGCTCCCCACACCCATGCAATCTTCCACTTCCATGTCAGCATCCCGGTTACAAACACTCCTCAAGGCCTCCAGCAGGTCATCTGCAAAGCCTTCCACCATCTCCCGCATCCTGGCCATGTCTCCAGTGGTACCCAGGATACGCTTCTCATAGAAGCTGCCCAGGACAGCCTTGTCGGGAAAGGTCACTCCTTTAAATGCTTTTCCCAGGACTGCCATGTCATCCTCTTCTCCTCCTATGTCCTGCCAATTCCCTTCCTGGAAATCCTGCCTCCAGAGCTCAATCAGCAGGAAGATGACCATGGAGAGGGCAGTCCACATGTCCCATCGGACTTTTTCCTCTTTGGTTTCCTCCACTACCACTGCGGCCTTTTCCAGAGCCTTCTGTGTGGCCTCCTGGTCTGCGATTTCCTGCTCCAAGCGCAACTGCTCCAGCCGCAGGCTCTCCTCCCGCTCCTTCATCTTCTGGATGATTTCCTCGGTGTGCTCAGGGACAGTGCCATTCTCCTTGGGGAAGAAGAGCGGGTGGTTGACAATAGCTGTAATCACCAGTAGGCACACCCGGAAGAGTCCCACAGGCATGGCAGTTCCTTCCCTGGAAAGAAAGAAAGGTGAAATGACCCATGATTTGGAATATATTCCCTCAAGTGCAAAAATGAAAGAAACTCCCCATGCAATAAGAACACTGACATCCTTTCCAGCCCTGGAAAAAATGCTTTAATCTAGAAACCACTAAGTGCATGCCCATTTCTGCAAGTTATCAACCAACTTCTCAAAAACACTTTATCAGCAGATGATGAGGATGAAAGTAGCTCTTATCAAATGAACTTCGAAAAACAGGACTCTGAAGGCACTTCCTGCTATCAAGCCACTGTGATGCTGTTGGGCAGTATGCGAGGGCATGTCCTTCCTTTGCCTCTCCTTTAAAACTCCCTGGACAGAAAAGTAAAGAAGGAGGCAGAACCTCCTCAGGTGTATAAATATAAAAGCAGGACTGGAGATGAGCACTGCTTTTCCTCAATATAAAGCTAATGTTTCAGATGTTGCAGTGGCATAGGCAGCTCTATCCTGGCTACCTTCCTGGTTAAGCATGTCTAGGAACCCACACAGCCTGTCTGGATCAGGGCAACTTTCACTGCTCTGCTGCTGAGGCGCACCTGGGTGGGAATAAACCTGCACAGTTTTGTGCTTCTAAGCAAGCATTACAGGCAAAGCTCTTCCTGCCTTTCAGTACAATCAGGGTCAGGCTGTGGCAAACTCTCCTGGCCCCCAGGATGCCTCATGATTGCAGTTCCCAGAAAAAAGGGCAGAGACAGAGACTGCTGAAATGGAAAAGGTTTTCTTTTGCCCAGTGGTTCTAAAAGCATCATGCTGCTTATTTTTCGTGCTTACCTACACTACTGACCTGTGTAGGACATTAGTCAACACCATGGCTTTGATCTAAGCTATCTCCCCCAAGAGCCCCTAAACAGCTGTGCTTGCAGCCAGCTCACTCCTATTTGCAGTGACCTCAAAAAGGCTGTGAGCCTCATCCTAGCCATGTGCCAGAAAGAGTCCTGTGTGCCACCCCTTGCACAGGCCCCCTGGCATGACTGAGACCACTACAGCGTTTTGGAGTGGCTTTGTGTGGTTACTGGCTCTGCTCCTCCAACCCCACATTTAATGAAGCCTTCTGTGCCACGGGACTCACAATTAAAGGATTTAATTCCCAATCTGCCAGAGTCTCTGCCTGGTGGTGACAAGGCCTCCCACAGGGCTGGGCCACATGCTGCTCAGGCTAAAGCCTGGGCTATTTCCTCCCAGCTGGCATTTCTGTTTCTGGACGACTGGCATCACTATCAAGAGCCCAAGTGCCTGCTCAGGGTGACAATCTGAAGTTGTCACCCATTGCTGTAAAGCTCACCAGTCCTTCTTTCTAGCAAAATCACCTCTCAGTCCTAGCACAGAGAGATCAGAAGGACAAGATGGACAAGCAGGGATATTTTTTCTTCCAGCTGGGAAATTTTAGCACAGCTGCTTTAATGCCTCAAAACTGCTTGAGAGAGAAGCTTCTGTTACAGCAACAAAGTCTACCAATAACATACTTCATCAATCAGACCAGAAATAGCAATCTCATTCCTAAGTAATTCTGCTGTGGGAATGAAGCTGTTTCACAGAGACCCAAGAGATGGTGAGGCACTCTGTGTGCTCCAAGGGCTCAGGGCTGCAATTCCAACCCCCTGGAACAGCTCCTTCCTGGCTTGAAACCAGCATGTTATGTTGCCACAGCAATCCTGCTGTCCCAGCATCTGGGCAAGAAGGAAAATATCTCTGGCAATCTCATTTATGCCTCCACAGGGCACACAATAAAGACGGATCCACCCCAGTGGACCTTGTTATCGTAACTGCACAACAAACTGCTGGTTTTGATTGCAGCAACCTGGATTTCCTCAATGTGAGCATTTACTGTACATGGGAACTGTATCCTTCAGCATACAATTATCTTTGCTTATGAGAGGGCTGGGACTGGAATAACAAGGGAAGGGAACAGGATTGAGATGCATTGTTCAAACAGCAAGAAAATTCACACGGTGCTCAAGATAATGCTCCATGCCCCTCCCTGTGTAACATTTACCAACTACCCTTTTCTTAGATCCCATGCACATGCATAGATGAATGCTCTTATGCAGACATTGCTCTGGAAATAGTGGCCCTATCTTGTCCTTTTTTACATTTACATTAACTCTTAAATTCATCAGGCAATGAATTAAAGCTGAATTAATGTCCAAATCTGGGTGTTCCAGTTATTCTGTGAGCTCCACACCCGGGCACAATTTAAAAATAAACTGGGGTCGCCCTGCATTGCAAAGGGTTTTATCAGTTTGCTGGGGCAGGGCAGGAAGTGCTGGCGAGTTCCCTTCCTTAGTGCTACGCTCCTGCAGACCACGTGTGCCTTCCAAGCTTAAAAATAACATGGCCAGGGGCCAGGTGCCTCCTTCTTGCAGTCTTGACCAGGGTGACATCACTGCTCTGCTCTGCTCGACCACTGTCCCAGCAGATGAGATGTTTTACTGTTACCACATTATTTCTACGGTGCGTAAGGCTGAAAGGTCAGATTCCTTAGGATCCTCTTTCTCATGCCCAGCTGCCCATGGCACACTCCTGCCACAAGTTACCTGTCCCAAAGCTCTGCTAGCAGCAGGGGTTAGGCCAGACATCCCCAAGTCCATCACTGGCTGGATCAGCTGAATTCACTCCGGGTCACACTGACATTCTAGGGTACTCCACCTCATTTTGCAGCAACCTATTCCCTCAGCAAGTGCTACAGGCATCAGCGTCTGGAAACTGGAAGTGACAAGATCTTCAGATCCCATTGATTTGCAAGAGGAATGTCTGTTTTCAGTCCAGAGCAAGTTCTGCTGGTCAAAACTGCCCTTTTGCTACTGCAGTTACTCACTCCAGAAAATTAAGCCAAACATTAACCTCAGTTAAGGCTTAAGGTTAATGCTGCCCAGTGACCAAAGTCAGTGGAGCCTGCCCTTGGCAGCAGCAAGGGTGGTACAGGCAGAGCATTCCCACATCTCTCAGACAGCTTTCCTGGCTAATATAAAAGACTCAATAATACAGGTGAAACCAGTAGCACTACCTGCTAAGGCACTCCAGCATTCCCCATAACAAAGACTGCTCTTTTCCCTTGCTTTTCACTTCAGCCCAAGCTATTTAAGCCTGATAAAAATATTTATGCCTGCTCAGGCTGAAACAGCTTTTGTGTGGGGAAGAGGGAGAGAGTCCAAACCTTTCCAAGCTTGAGACTAAGAATAAGAAATAGCAATTTTTCAATCTGCATCAAATTTAGCAATGTTTCAAATATGAGGAAAAAAAAATGAAAGGTATTCATAAGTTTTAAAATAGCAAGTTCTCAAAGCAATCTGCAACCTTTTCCAAATTTCTCACCCTGACAGTTTTTTCCCACTTAAAGTATAAACAACATCTGGACTCAGTAACAGGTTTACATCCTACCTACCTTCTGCAGACCCTCTTGTGGCAGTCCTGGGGCTCCAAAGACCCCCCAGAGGGTGCTGTGGTCACAGGCAGGCCACTCCTGTCAGCAGCCAAAGCAGCCCTTGCTCTGCTCCCTGGGCCAGGTGAGAATGCAGAGGCCCCTCTTTTCTCCCATGGGCACAAAGCAGGGAAAGGTGCAGGAAGATCAAAGAAAGCTGTTTGGGAAATGAAGAAGGGCCAGGATATGTGAAACCTCACTGTCTTGATGTGAAGCTGTCTCTGCTCAGTGCCCAGCATGTGATGCTACTTGTTCAAACCTGCTTTTGGCACTAGAATTAGATTCCTTCTGGGCTTTTCTGTGCTGTAGTGACTAGGGGCTTCACCCAGTTTAAGGTTAATGACCACTCTGCACAACTCTGGGAAGTGAGGGGGCAGACACCATCCCACCCTCCAGCTGGGAGTGAGGGCTCACAGAGATAAAAACAGCTGATCACTCTGTTGCCTGATTACAAACCATCAGCTGCATCCTGCAGCACTTGGTATGTTCAAAGGGTCCACCAAGAGCACCTGCAGTCCTCCACCCTCAGCTCCCAGGCAGGTTAGGCCTCATCCTTTCAAACCTGAAGCTGCCTCCCCAGCTGGAGGATCCTGACCAGCTCCAGAGCAGGTCCTGGATGATGCAGGAAGCCCCAGGAGAGTAAAGGGACAGATAATGCTGCTTCCATGCAATTCAGGTTGGTGCCATGAAGCCACAAGCAGCAGGAGGCCAGCTCTCCTGCTAGCTGATCTGAAAGCCCTGTGCTGCACAATTCACTGATGTTTGGCTTGCCCAGAGCACAGTTCCAGGTAGCACAGCACTAGGAAAGGGAAGCAGCACAGGAAGAAGCCTTCACAGAGCCAGGCAGCAGCAGCTGCACCTTCAGCTTCTCCTCCTCTTCACCTGTATCACAGAGCTCATACAGGGTTTGTGTGGACCAGCCTGAAGCAGCTGCTGCCTTGTGACAATGTGTGCTCTCCCCTTCCCAAGCCACCCTGTCACAGGGCACTTCCCTGAGGAGCAGCAAAGTTCTTAATGGAGATGATGATGCTCAAACTCATAACAATGTCCTGTCTCTTCCAGCTAAATGTGCTTAATTTCTGATATCTCTAAGCCTTCCCCACACCCTTTTCCATAGCAGGTTCAGAACTTTTTGCCTCCTGCTCAAACTGGCAAAGGAAAGAAAGAGATGGCAGCTTGCAGCTTGCCTCTGCAGGCTGCTCATGTGCTCTGAGCCCAGATAACTTTCCACCTTCTCTGAAGACAAGGGAAAGTATTTCCCAGTCAATAACAGTACCTTTCTTTACTCAGGAGTTCCTCATGTAGCTTTATTTTTTCAGCCATTTTATTCCTCTAAATATTGAATCATGGTAAGCAAAACATGCTCTGTCTGATGTTCAGCAATAAACCAGGCAGGAGTGAGCTGAAGCTTTGATTCTTAACTTGGAAAAACCCAAGTCAATCCACTGAGTGCAGTTCAGTATTACAGTGGAACACGCCAAGGCATCACTTACAACACACTTGATTGCTTCCTGCAGTTTGGCTGACACAAAAGGCAATGAATAGGTGGCTGCTAC